ATCATTCTCAGTGGGGAAAAGCTGTGAGCCTTTCCGTTAAGATCAGGAACACAACGAGGATGCCCACTCTAGCGACTGTTGTTCAACATAGTACTAGAAGTCCTAGCAACAGCAATCAGACAACAAAAAGAAATAAAAGGTATTCAGTTTGGCAAAGAAGAAGTTAAACTCTCTCTCATCACAGATGACATGATATTTTATGTGGAAAACCCAAAATACTCCACCCCTAAATTACTAGAACTCATAGAGCAATTCAGTAATGTGGCAGGATACAAAATCAAAGTACAGAAATCAGTTGCTTTCCTATACACTAACAATATAACTGTAGAAAGAGAAATTAGGGAATCAATTCCATTTACAATAGCACCAAAAACCATAAGATACCTTGGAATAAACCTAACCAAAGAGGTGAAGGATCTATACTCTAGAAACTACAGAACACTTATGAAAGAAATTGAAGAAGACACAAAAGGATGGAAAAACATTCTATGCTCATGGATCACAAGAATAAACATTGTTAAAATGTCTGTGCTGCCCAGAGCAATCTATACTTTTAATGCCATCCCAATCAAAATACCAATGGCATTTTTCAAAGTGCTGAACAAACAAACCTAAAATTTATATGGAACCAGAAAAGACCCTGAGTCGTCAAGGAAATGTCGAAAAAGAAAAACAAAGCTGGGGCATCACGTTGCCTGATTTCAAGCTATATTACAAAGCCGTGATCACCAAGACAGCATGGTATTGGCACAGAAACAGACATAGATCAGTGGAACAGAATAGAGAGTCCAGATATGGACCCTCAACTCTATGCTCAACTAATCTTCAACAAAGCAGGCAAAAATATGCAATGGAAAAAAGACAGTCTCTTCAATAAATGGTGCTGGGAAAATTGGACAGCTATATACAGAAGAATGAAACTTGACCATTCGCTTACACCATACAGAAAGATAAACTCAAAATTGATGAGAAAGATAAACTCAAAATTGATGAAAGACCTCAGTGTGAAACAGGAATCCATCAAAGTCCTAGAGGAGAACATAGGCAATAACCTCTTCGACATTGGCTACAGCAACTTCTTTCAAGACACGTCTCCAAAGGCAAAGGAAACAAAAGTTCCACACTCTTTTGATTACTATAGCTTTGTAATATAACTTGAAGTCAGAAATTGTGATGCATCCAACTTTACCTTTCCTTTTGAAGGTTTGACTATCCAGGGTCTTTTGTGGTTCCATACAAATTTTAGCATTGTCTTTTCTAGCTCTGTGAAAGATGCTGGTGGTATTTTGATAGGGTTTGCCTTAAATGCATAGAACGTTTTGGGTAGTATAGACATTTTAACAGTATTTATTCTTCCAACCCATGAGCATGGAATGTTTTTCCATTTCTTTTTGTCATCTTTAATTTCTTTCCTCATTGTTTTCAGAGTACAGGTCTTTCACCTCTTGGTTAAGTTTATTCCTAGGTATTTTCTTGTTTTTGGTTCAATTTTAACTGGCATTGTTTCTTCAGTTTCTCTTTCTACTGCTTCATTACTGATTACAGATTTCTCTTGTTGATTTTGTATCCTGTGACTTTACTGAATTTATTTATCAGTTCTATCAGTTTTTTGATGGAGTATTTTGGATTTTCTATATAGAGTATCATGTCATCTACAAGTAGGAACATTTTTACATCTTTGCTGATTTGGAAACCTTTTGTTGTTGTTGTTGTTGTTGTTGTTACCTGATTGTTGTGACTAGGACATCTACTACTATGTGAAATAACAGTGGTGAATGGACATCCCTATCTTTTTCCATTGGCGATCATGTTAGCTGTGGGATTTTCATATATGGACTTTATTATGCTGAGCTATGTTCTTTCTAACCTTACAGTATTGTTTTTATCGTGAATGGATGTTGTACCTTGTCAAGTGTTTTTTGTGCATCTATGGAAATGATTATATGCTTCTTATCCTTTCTTTTAGTAATGTGGTTTATCATCTTGATTCATTTACAAATATTGTACCACCCTTGTACCCCTGGAATAAATTCCACTTGATTGTGGTGAATGATTCTTTTAATGTATTGTTTGATTCAGTTTGCTATTGTTTTATTCAGAATTATTATATTCATATTCATCAGGGATATTGCCCTGTAGGTCTTTTTTTTTTTTTTTTTGTGGAGTCTTTATCTGGTCTTGTAATCAGGGTAATGCTGGCCTCAAATAATGCATTTATAAGTTTTCCTTCCTTTTTTGGTGTTTGGAATAGTTTGAGGGGAACAGGTATTAATTTAAATGTTTGGTAGAATTCACCTGTGAGGCCATCTGGCCTGGGACTTTTGTTTTTTGGGAGTTTTTTGATTACTGATTCAGTATCTTTGCTGGTTATTGGTCTGTTCAAGTTTTCTATTTCTTCCTGTTTCAGTTTTGGTAGTTTATATGTTTCTAGTAGTTTATCCATTTCTTCCAGGTTGTACAATTTTTTTGTCCATGATTTTTCATCATATTGTCTTACAGTTGTTTGCATTTCTGTGGTGTTGGTTGTTATTTCTGTTCTCTCTTTTGTGATTTTGTTTAAGTATTTTTTTTTATGAAACTGGTTAGAGATTTACAAATTCTGTTGATCTTTCATGGATCCAGCTCTTGGTTTCATTGGTCTTTTCTATTGCTTTTTTAGTTTGTTTATTTTTATTTCTGCCCTAATTGTTATTATTTCCTTCTTTTGGCTTGAAGTTTTGTTTTTTGCTCTTCTTCCAGCCCCTTTAGGTATAAGATTAGATTGTTTAGTTGAGATTTTTCCTGAGTCTTTAGGTAGGCCTGTATTTTTTATAAACTTCCCTCTTATAATGCTTTAACTATATTCCAAATATTTTGGATCATTGTGTTTTCATTTTCCTTTGTTTCCATGTACTTTTTGATTTCTTCTTTGACTTCTTGATTGACCCATTCATTGTTTAGTAGCATATTATTTGACTTCCATATGTTTGTATTCTTTCCATTTTTTTCTCTTGTGGCTGATTCCAAGTTTCGTAGCGTTGTGATCAGAAAGGATGCATGGTAAGACTTTTATCTTTTTGAATTTGCTGAGCCTTGTTTTGTGTCTTAATATGTGATCTGTGCTGGAAAATACTCAATGTGCACCTTGAGAAAAATGTGTATTGTGCTTTTTTAGAATGGATGTTCTGACTATATTTGTTAATAACTCTGTTCTAGTGTGGTACTCAAAGCCAGTCTTTCCTTGTTGATTTTCTGTTTGGATGATCTGTCCATTGATGTGTATGTTGTTTTAACATCCTGTACTATTATTTTATTACTACTGATTTTTCTTTGTTTGTTATTGACTATTTTATGTATTTGAGTGCTCTCATGTTGGATGAATAAATATAATTTTTATGTCTTCTTGTTGGTTTGTCCCTTTGTTATATAGTATTCTTTGTCTCTAGTTATAGACTTTGTTGTAAAGTCTATTTTGTGTGATATAGGTATTGCTACTCCAGCTTTCTTCTAACAGCCATTATGATAAATATTTCTCCATCCCCTCTCTTTTAATATGCAGGTGTCTAAGTTTGAAATGAGTCTCTTATAGGCACTGTATGGATGGGTCTTTTGTTTTTTTTATCTAGTGTGTCACAGAATGTCTTTTGATTGGAGCATTTAGTTCATTTACATTCAAAGTAATCATTGATAAATATGTATTTATTGCCATTTTTGTGTTTGTTATGTGGTTGTTTTTATAATTTTTCTCTGACCTTTCTTGTCTTTTTCTCTTTAATGGTTTGCTGGTTTTATTTAGTGGTAAACTTGGATTGCTTTCTTTTCATTCTTTGTGTATCTATAAATGATTTTTGATTTGAAGTTACCAGTAGATTTATATATAACATCTTCTGCATATAGCAGTCTATATATATTATTTAAAGATTGTATTTATTTGACAGAGAAAGACACAGCGAGAGAGGGAAGCCAAGCAGGAGGAGTGGGAGAGGGAGAAGCAGGATTCCTGCAGGGCTCAATCCCAGGACCCTGGGGTCATGACCTGAGCCAAAGGCAGATGCTTAACCGACTGAGCCATCCAGGCGCCCCTAGCAGTTTATATTGTTGATGGTCACTTAAATTCAACACTGTCTTCTCTTCCTCCCCACATCATCTTTTAGGTGTATATTGTCATATTTTGCATCATTTTATTTTGTGAATTCCTTGACTGATTTGCTGATATACTTATTTTTATTGCCTCTGTGATTACTTCTTTTCAAACTGTCACTTATGGCCTTCCCTTTCCATTCAAAGATTCCCTTTAACATTTCATTTCAAGCTGGCTTAATGGTAATGTATGCCTTTAGTTTTTGTATTAGAAAGTCTTCATCTCTCCTATTTTGAATGGTACCTTTGCTGGATAGAGGATTTTGGGATGTAGATTTTTCACTTTCAGTACTTTGAATATATCATGCTACTCCCTTCTGGCTTGCAAAGTTTCTGCTGAAGAATCTGCTCATTGCCTAGTGGGTTTTCTGTTTTTTTTTTTTTTTTCCCCTCTTGCTTATTTAAAAATTTTTTTGTTACTGCTACTTTTTTCCATTTTGAATTCTATTTGTCTTGGTGTAAACCTCCTTTGGTTGATTTTGTTAAGGGATCTCTGTGCCTCCTGGATTTGGATATCTGTTTCCTTCTCAAGAATTGGGAAGTTTTCTGCTATTATTTCTTCAAGTAAATGTCTCGTCCCCTTTTCCTTATCTTCTGCTTCTGGGATCCCTATAATGCTAGTGTTATTTCCCTTGATGGAGTGTCTGATTTCCCTAAGTGTTTTCTAGTTTTGCACAATTCTTTTTTCTCTCATGTGTTCATCTTGATTACTTTCCATTACTTTGTCTTCTAGGTCATTAATTCATTACTCTGTTTCTTCCATCCTGCTATTTATTCCATCAATTGTATTCTAAATTTCATTTATTGTGTTCTTCATCTCCAATGGGTTCTTTCTTATCTCTGTGTTAAGGGTCTCACTGATGTCCTTCACTCATTTCTTAAGTCCTGTTAGTGTTTTTATGATCATTAGTTTAAATTCTCTATCAGGGATATTAATTATATCTCTTTTGCTTGGGTCTCTTGCTATGGTTTGGTGCCGTTCTTTCATTTGGGCATATGTCTCTGTGCCTTTTTTTTTTTTTCTGTCTAACTCTTTGTGTATGTTTCTGTGGGTTCAGAAAGGCTATGTCTCCCGCTCTTCGCAGTAGTGGCCTTATGAAGAATAAGCCCCGTAGTGCCCTGCAGTACGGTGTTCCTTTTTCCCCCAGGCATTGCGCTTCATGTAGTGTCTCCTATGTGTTTTCTGTGTGTGCTCTGCTTTTGAATGCTGGTCTTTTTTTTCCTTTTGTCCAGTTGTCTTCTGAGCCTGTCTTTGTCTCTTGTGGGCAGTCTTTGGTCTCCAGCAGGTTTGGCACTCATTTTAACGATATGGAGCTGGTCTACTTGGAAAATGAGACCTTCCAGTATGGCCATCCTTGGAACTGAGGTCCCCCCAAACACTCAGGTCAGTAGATGGGGTGTTGTTATGGTTTGTGCCTGTCTGGGGGTGAGGTCCCGATGTGTCAGAACTGAGGCAAGTGTGACTAAGAAGGGCAGATCTTGCCAAAGTGTGGTGGGATGGGTCTTGGTGTGAGGAAGTTAGGTAGTAAGTATGGGCACCATGCTGGTCCCCACTAGTGGCTCTGTGTTTATGTTGGAGTTCAAGGGAAGGAGATGACACTTGTAGCTCCTTTGTTTTTGGACTGGTTTCCCTGTGATCCCTACCTCTCCAGGACATGCTCTGAAATGAGTAAGTCACTCTCACTCCTGTCTGTCCCCAGCAGTTTTCAAATTGCTCTTTCTTTGTTGCATCTGCACATGCTGTTTTTCGTACTATTCCTTTGAGGGCAGGTTCTCAGCTTCCTAATGCCCTTAGGACTCTACCAGAGCTGAGCCTACTGATTTTCAAATTTCCAAATTTCACTGATTGTAGGAACTCACAAAAGTCAGACCCTCTTACTTTCAAGGACAAATGTTATGGGGATTCATTTTTTCCTCTGTGGGATCCCTGGTGTGAAAGACTGTTTTTTGTCCTTATCCATACCACCAGCTCCCTCCCCACTGCAGACTGCCAAGGTCTGTTTTGTTTCCAGACTGCATCTTCACATTTCATACCTTCTTCTAGGTGTTCTCTTCTCTGCCTTTAATTTTGAGTTTTTGCTACCAGTTTTTAGATTGTTTTCTGGGATATTTTTGCTTATTTGAGTGTCATCTAGCTGTATCTGTGGCACAAGGGATGCTTAGGGTCCTCCTACTCACTCCACCATCGTTCCAAGCTTCTTCATATGTTACAATTTTCCAAAAATTCATAAAAGAACATTAAAATATTAATATTTCCTTGTATCGTATCTTTTGCTGAAAGTCTCTTGTGTATGTACATAGAGGGCGTCAGTGTTTGATGCAAAATCTGTGGGTTTATGTTCCTGAATGTCTTTCCTAAGGAGCTTCCTCTGCTATTATGACTTTCCCTCCCTTTCCCCCATATGCGACTTTCCCTAAGCAATACATAGTATTGTTTTGCATAGTATAGTAGCCAAACCATGGATTGTGGAGCCAGACTACCTGACTTTGCATCCTGGCTCATCAACTTACTATCTTTTGAACTTAGGCAAGCCACTTAACTTCTCTGGGCTTAATTTTCTTATCTATAATGGGATAAATAATGGTACCGAACTTAAAGAGTTGTTGTGAGGAATAAAAGTTTTAATTTGTATATAGTGTTTAGAACAGTGTCTGATACCTAATAAGCATTTTGTGTGTTTGTTATTAGTGCTTTTACTGTTTATAAAAGAGAAATAATTTTTCATTTATTCTTTTTGTACCTTGTTTTTTTGACTCAATATTATATATGTGAAATTCATTTGTGTTCATATATTTAACACAAATTCTTTCATTTTTATTGCTATATGGTACTCCATTGTGAGAATATACTGTCATTTCTTTAAACATTCTTTTATTGATTGATGAAAAAGTTACTTCTCTTTTTTATGCTAGTGCAAACATTACTCCCATAGAAGTGTTCTACATGTCTTTTGCACATTTGGAATTTTTTCCAGGGTATATACCTAGAAATAGAATTTTTGGGTTGTAGGGCATGCACATCTTTAGTGGCTATTACCAATTTGTGTCATTACCAGGAGTGTGAATGAATTTTCTTTGCTCCATGTCCAAGGGAAACAGAAGCTGGTTCAGAAACATGTAAGAAAGTTTCATTCAGCAAATGTTTATTGTGTCTGTATCCCATGAACAGAATGAAAGCAATTATACTGGAATGCAAATCTGCTGTCTTGCAAACAGAAAGAACTCTACTTAATACCAAATGAGATCACACATGTAAAGTACCTGCCATACAGTAGTCACCTTTCCTCAATAAATTTAGGAATGTACTCACTCAGGCTAATATGGTAATGTTATTGATAAAAACTTTTTATGAGGTAATCTATCACCCCCAAAATAGAAAAGTATCTGCATTTAGCGTGAAGAGGAGATGGTTAAAGGGGAATATCATCCCATTTGTCTGTGATGTTGAAAGGATTATGCTTTAGAAGGAGATCACATCTGTTTTTCATCTTCCTTGCCATCCTTCAGTAGAGCTGAAGGAAATTGCATCATAAAACAGAGTGACACCAAAAGATTTATCCTTCATTTTGTGATAAAAAAATGAGTGTTATCTGCCCATCCTCTCTACCTTAGTGACCTTTCTGCTTGAACTATTTAAAAGCATGTTTGTAATTACAAGCAGGACTGTGTTCAAATGAATGGGACCCACGTGAGCTTGTAACTTTGTCTCCGATAGCAGGTGGCTTCAAACTCAACTCTGGAGAGGATAAGAAATGAGGAAAATCAAGAGCACGTAACCCTTGAATTAGATTGTAATATTCAGGGTGCCTGGGTGGCTCAGTTGGTTGGGCAACTGCCTTTGGCTCAGCTCATGATCCTGGAGTCCTGGGATCAAGTCCCGCATCGGGCTCCCTGCTGAGCAGGGAGTCTCCTTCCCCCTCTGACCCTCCCCCCTCTCATGCTCTCTCCATCTCATTCTCTCTCTCAAATAAATAAATAAATAAATAAAATATTTTTTAAAAAGATTGTAATATTCAGTTTCAAGAAATTGAAGGAGAAATCAAAAAGTACATGGAAGCAAATGAAAATGAAACATAATATTCCAAAACTTTTGGGATGCAGGAAAAGCAGTTCTAAGGGGAGTTTATAGCAATTCGGGGCTATGTTATGAAGCAAGAAACCTCTAATAAACAACCTAACTTTAAACCTAAAGGAGCTAGAAAAAGATAAACAGACAAAACTGTAAACCAGCAGAAGGAAGGAAATAGTAAAGATTACAGCAGAAATGAATGATGTAGGAACAGAAAAACTAAACTACTATATATATTATAGTTTAGTATATTAGTATTGTTAGTATATATATAAAATAGTACATATTTCATGTATATACTAATATATAATATTTAACATAACATATAACATACAATATATATATGTTTCATATGTGTGTGTGTGTGTGTGTGTGTGTGTGTGTGTGCGCGCGTGCTATACACACACACAACCAATCAAAGAAACCAGGAGCTGGTTCTTTGAAATTATCAACAGAATTGGTAAACCTCTAAACAGACTCATCAGAAAAAAAAATGGACCAGGTAAATGAAATCACAAATGAAAGGGCTGAAATCACAGCCAACACAATTATAACAAGTAATTGTAATATTATGAAAAACTATATGCCAACAAATTAGACAACGTAGAAGAAATGGATAAATTTCTGGAAACATGTAACCTACCAAAGCTGATGCAGGAAGAAATAGAAAATTTGAATAGGCTGATTAGCAGCAAGGAATTGAATTAGTAATCACAAAACTCCCAAGAACCAAAAGTCCAGGACCAGATGGCCTCACAGACAAATTCTATAAAACATTTGAAGAAGAGTTAATACCTATTCTACTCAAAGTATTCCAGAAAATACAAGGAAAACTTTCAAATTCATTCTATGATGTGAGTATAACCCTGATACCAAAATCAGAGGAAGATACCACAAAAAGAAAAGAACTACCAGCCAGTATCTCTGATGAATATAGATACAAAAATCCTCAACAAAATACTAGCAAACCGTAATCCAACAATACATTAAAAATATCATTCACCACGATCAAGTGGGATTTATTCCTGGGGTGCAAGAGTGGTCCAATATTTGCAAATCAATCAATGTGATACATCACATTAATGAAAGAAAGCATAAAGTCCATATGATCATCTCAATAGATGCAGAAAAAAGCATTTGACAAAATATAACATTCATTCATGATAAAAAGCTCTCAGTATACCTCATCATAATAAAGAGTATATATGAAAAACCCACAACTAACATCATACTCAGTTGGGAAAAACTGAGAGCTTTTCCCCTAAGGTCAGGAACAAGCCAAGGATGTCCATTCTCATCGCGTTTATTTCACATAGTAGTGGCTGTCCTAGACACAGCAAACAGACAGGAAAAAGAAATAAAAGGCATCCAAGTGGGTAAGGAAGATGTCAAACTTGCAGTATTTGCAGCTGACATGATAGTATATATAGAAAACCTGAAAGACTCCACCAAAAAACTACAAGAACTGATAAATGAACTCAGTAAAGGTGCAGATACAAAATCAATGTACAGAAATCTGCTGCATTTCTATATGTTAATAATGAAGCAGCAGAAAGAGAAATTAAGGAATGAATCCCATTTACAACTGCACCAAAAACAATAAGATACCTAGGAATAAATCTAACCAAAGAGGTAAAAGTCCTGTACTCTGAAAACTATGAAACATTGATGAAAGAAAATGAAGATGACACAAACAAAAGGAAAAATATTCTGTGCTCATGGAGGAGAAGAATAAATATTGTTAGAGTGTCTGTACTACCCAAAGGAATCTAACATTTAATACAATCCCTATCAAAATACCAACAGCGGTTTTCATAGAACTAGAACAATCTAAAATTTCTGTGAACCACAAAACTCCCCAAATAGCCAAAGCAGCCTTGAAAATGACAAACAAAACTGGAAGTAACACAATTCCAGACTTCAAGTTATATTACAAAGCCATAGTAACCTAAACAGTGTGGTTCTGGCACAAATATAGACACAAAGATCATGGAACAGAATAGAAAACTCAGAAATGAAGGCACAATTATGTGTCAATTAATATTTGACATAGGAAAGAAAACATAACGGATAAATGACAGTCTCTTGAACAAACGGTGTTGGGAAAATTGTTGAGCTACATGCAAAAGAATGAAACTGGATCACTTTCTTACACCATACAGAAGAATAAATTCAAAATGGATTGAAGACCTAAATGTGAGACCTTAAACCGTAAAAATCCTAGAGGAGCACATAGCAATAATGTGTCTGAAATCAGCTGTAGCAACATATTTCTAGATAATGTGTCCTGAGGAAGGGAAATAAAAGCAAAAGTAAGCTATTGGGATTTCATCAAAAAAAGCTTCTTCACACCCAAGGAAACAACCAACAAAACTAATGGGAATCCTACTGATTTGGAGAACATATTTGCAAATTCTTTGTCTGATAAAAGGTTAGTATCCAAAACATATAAATAACTTACACAACTCAGCCCTCCCAAAACAAATAATCCAATTAAAAAATGGCCAGAAGACTTAGACATTTCTCCAGAGAAAATATACAGATGGCCAAGAGACATGTGAAAAGATGCTCACCGTCAGTAGTCATCAAGGAAATGCAAATCAAATGTACAGTAAGATATCATCTTTTAGTTAGTATGACTAAAATAAAAAGCACAAGAAACCACACATACTGGTGAGGATAGGTAGAAAAATGAACCCTCATGCACTGTTGGTGGGAATGCAAACTGGTTTAGCCACTGTGGAAAATAGTATGGAGGTTTCTCAAAAAACTAAACATAGAAATATAATTAGAAATACCATTTGATACAGTAATTTCACTACTGGGTATTTACCCAAAGAAAATGAAAACACCGATACAAAAATATATATGTATTCTAGTGTTTATTGCAACATAATTTGCATTAGCTACCATAAGTTAGTGTCCATCAGTAGATGAATGGATAAAGAAGATGTGATATATATATATATACACAATGGAACATTATTCATCCTTAAAAAGAATGAACTTTTGCGATTGGTGACAACATTGTTGGGGCTACAGTATATTGTGATAAGTGAAATTAGAGAAAGGCAAACACCATGTGATTTCACTTATATGTGGAATCTAAAAAATAATATAAACAAATAAATCAGAAACAAACCCATAAATACAGAGAACAAACTGGGGGTTGCTAGATGGGAGGGGGTAGGAGGAAGGGTAAAATGGGTGATAGGGAATATGAGGTATTGGCTTCCAATTATAGAATGCAATCATATGAATGAAGTGTACAGCATAGGAAATATAGTCAATGGCAGTGTAATAGTGTTGTATGGTGACAGATGCTAGCCGCACTTGTGGTGAACATAGCGTAATATATAATAGATTCATTGAATCACTGAGTTCTACACCTGAAATTAATGTAACATTATATTTCAACTGTACTTCAATATAAAACAATATTTTGTATGTAGGGATAGGTGGGGGAGCTAACATTTGTTCAGTACTTACTATGTATTGCAATCTATACTGGCATTTAGTTCTCACAATACCTGTGAAGACAATATTATCCCTGTTTTGCAGATGAGGAATCCAAGGATCAGAGAGGGTAAGGACTTGTCCAAGGTCACACAGGTACAAAATAGTAGAGCTAAGATTATACTCTGGTCTGTCTGGTCTCTCCAATTCCAAAGTCATTCCTTTCATCTTGTATAGTTTGGGTACAGTTTTGATCTTGCTGTTTGGCTCTAGCTGTTAACCAGGAAAGCTTAAAATTCAATGTCCTATAACACAGGTAATTGCAAATTCTTAACTGCTAATTTGCATTAACAAATTAGTTTGTTGATACTTTAGATTCCAAGGGCTTTGATGATGATTTTCTTTAGTAAGATGTTCAGGAGGAATAATAAGTAACCAGGAATAAAGTGACTGAGTCAGTTGGGCTTCTTGTTAACTTGAAGCAAAAAAATCATTCCTGGAGAAGTTAAGTGGTGGAGTAATAAGTGGACCCTAGGCTTGCCTCATCCCTCGAACACAGGTAGATAAATATCAAATCATTCTGAATACCCCGGAAATCAATCTGAGGACTGACAGAACAAACTGCACAACTAGATAGAGGGAGGAGGCCACATCGTGGGAGATAGGCGGTGCAGAGATATGGTTTGGGGGAGAAACTGATCTCGGGTGCTGTAGAGGGGAGGGAGCCCTGGTCATGGAGAGAGGCAGGGGAGAGAGAGGAGTGCACAGGGATAATATAAGGAAAACACTTCCCCGAAACCATTAACTTGGAAAATAAGAGGGGCAGATTTTCATGAGTTTTTGCAACCATCAAAACTCAAAAACTGGAGTTTTAGAGGTCTGTGGTTTGGATGGTATAAAGCCCTGAGGGCACTGCGGTGCTCCTGTAGAGAAGGCAGGCAGGTAACCTGGGGGCAAAGAGCACAACCTGTGGATCACCTAAGATGCACTGGGAGAGACAGTTCCACCTTCCTGGAGTGCATCTGAGAGAGGTGGCATGGCAGGCACCATTTCCCTCTTCCGCCACTCAGCATAGGCACAGAGACACCGGCTGAGGGTAGCTAACCAGGACGCTAGCTCTTTAGTGCTCTTTGCTCCAAACTTGTTGCTCCTGTGCCCTGGTGTGACTGCCCTCTGGGTCAAGCCTGCATCAATTCCAGTGTAATGAGACCCTTCCCCAGAGGACCAGCACTGGTCCCCACCACACCAGGTCCCTAAAGTTTGGAGTTTTAAACCTCAGCTGGCCTGGCTGGAATAGAGCCCAAAGTGCACTGTGCTGGTCCAGGTAGGCAAGCAACCCAGACGTAGACAGTGGGAAAACAGTGATCTGAAAAACAACTACAGCACGTGAATGGAAATTATTTGCGATTCTGGGAGGGCTTCCCTGACAGCAATGAGCCAGACTCCCCTCTGCTGGGACAAAGGAGCTGGCTGGCAACATGTCCCTCTCCTGTTCCACAGCATAAACTAACGTCAGCAAATGGCACAGTGCCAATACTGGCTGTCTCACCTGCCTACACCAACTCCCCTCCCCTTCATTCTGCTGGTAACTGCTTTTCATGGGCAAGTGTGCCTAAGAACCAGCACAGGCGGCCCCTTCCCCAGAAGACCAGTGCAAACCCCTGAACGCATTATGTCTACTGACAATAGAGTTCTTCAGAGCTTCAGTTCTAGTGGAAATACCATCAGGTCTTTTCTAACAAGCAGACCAGAGCACACCTAGTTAAAACTTGCCACACTTTGGCCAAGGTCCGAACACTCCCCGCTACAGACAAGGAGAACCTCTGTGGAAGACTGTCCTGAGGGATAGAGCAGCCATAACGGAAGCAAGAGTGCATGCAACATACACCAGAGACACTTCTTGAAGCATCAGGCCCTGGACATTATATGACATCTTCTTCATAAAGCCATTACTCTCAGGAGCAGGAAACGTAACAGACTTTCCCTAAAACACAGAAGAAACCTTGACAAAATGCAAATGTGGAGGAATTCATCCCAAAAGAAAGAACAAGTAAAGGTCACAGCCAGGAACTCTAATTGAAATGGATATAATTAGTATGCCTGAATCAGAATTTAAAGCAACAATCCTTAAGATACTAGCTGGGTTTGAGAAAATCATAGATGACACCAGGGATTCTCTTACTACAGCATTAAAAGAGCTTAAAACCAATCAGGCCAAAATGAAAAATGCAAAACAAAGCTTTTAAACTGACTGGATATAATGACCACAAGGATGGAAGAAACAGAGTAACAAATAAGTGATATAGAAAATAGAATTATGGAAAATAATGAAGCCATTTAAAAGAGGGAAACAAAAATCTTAAATCATGAAACTGGATTTCATGAACTCAGTGACTCAATGAAGTCCCAGAAGAAGAAGAGGGAGAAAGAGCAGCAGAAGGTTTATTAAAAGAAATTATAGCTGAAAATTTCCCTAATCTGGGGAAGGAAACAGACATCCAAATCCAGGAAGCACAGAGAACTCCTATCAAAATCAACAAAACCAGGCCACCAACCATCTATATTGCAAAATATAGAGATAAAGAAAAAAACCCTAAAAGCAGGAAGACAAAAGAAGTCCCTAACTTACAAGGGAAGACAAATAAGGTTAGCAGCAGATCTCTCCACAGAAATTTGGCAGGCCAGAAGACAGTGCAATGACATATTCAACATGCTGAATGGGAAAAATATGCTGCCAAGAATATTCTATCCAGCAAGGCTGTCATTCAGAATAGGAGAGATAAAGTGTTTCCCAGATAAACAAAAACTAAAGGAGTCCATGTTCACTAAACCAGCCTTGCAAGAAATATTAAAGGGAAGTCTTTGGTAAAAAGACTAGAAAGGAACAGAGAAAACCTCCAGAAACAACAACAAAAGAAGCAATAAAATGGTACTAAATTCATATCTATAAATAATTACTCCAAATGTAGGGGGACTAAATGCTTCAATCAAAAGCCATGGGGTATCAGAATGGATAAAAAACAAGACCCATCTATATGCTGCCCAAAAGAGACTCATTTTAGATACCTGCAGATTAAAAGTGAGGGCATGGAGAAACATTTGTCATGCAAATGGATGTCAAAAGAAAGCCAGAGTAGCAGTACTTATATCAGACAAATTAGATTTTAATTCAAAGACTGTATGTAACAAGAGATGAAGAAGGGCACTAGATCATAACAAAGGGGTCTGCCCAACAAGGAGATCTGTTATAAAAACAGACACAAAGATCAATGGAACAGAATAGAAAACCCAGAAATCCACCCACAACGATATGGTCAACTAATCTTCCATAAAGAAGGAAAGCATAGCCAATGGAAAAAGGACAGTCTCTTCAGCAAATGGTGTTGGGCAACCTGGACAGCAACATGCAAGAGAATGAAAATGGACCGCTTTCTTAGACCATTCAGAAAAACAAATTCAAAACGCATTAAACACCTAAAATGTGAGACCTGATCCTTGAAAACAGAAGCAGTAACCTCTTGACATTGGCCCTAGCAACTTCTTACTCGATACATCTCCTGAGGCAAGGGAAACAAAAGCAAAAATAAACTATTGGGATTTCATCAAGATAAAAAGTTTCTGCACAGTGAAGGAAACAAAACTAAAAGCAGTCTTCAGAATGGGAGAAGATATTTGCAAATGACATAACTGATAAAGGGTTCTTATCCAAAATCTATAAAGAACTTATAAAACTTAACACTCAAAAAGCAAATTATCCAGTTAAAAAGTGGGCAGAATAATATTCCATTGTATATATGGACCACATCTTTTTTATCCATTCGTCTGTTGAAGGGCAATCTCGGCTCCTTCCACAGGCTAATGTGGACTTTGCTGCTATGAATGCTGAGGTGTATATGGCCCTTCTTTTGACTACATCTGTATCTTTGGGGGAAAAAAAAGGTGGGCAGGAGACATGAATAGACATACAGATGCGTAACAGACACATGAAAAGATGCTCAGCATCACTCATCATCAGGAAAATACAAATCAGAACTACAATGTGATATCACCACTCTCACACCTGTCAGTGGCTAAAATTAGGAACACAGGAAACAACAGGTTTTGGCGAGGATACAGAAAAAAGGGTAACTTCTTACCCTGTTGGTGGGAATGCAAACTGGTGCAGCCACTCTTTTATTTATTTATTTATTTAAATTCAACTAGACAATCATCAGTAGTTTTTGATGTAGTGTTCAATTAGTTGCGTATAACACACAGTGCTCATCACTCTTTTTTTAAAATTTTTTTATTGTTATGTTAATCACCATACATTACATCA